CTCATAAATAAAAAGTTATTTGAGAACAAAACAGCTAAAAGGTCTGTAAGTCCAAAAATCGGAATTGGTCAGGGCCGAACATATGGCTCATACAGGACATCAGATAGATCGGTCTAATAACGAACGCTTAGCTGGATGTGAGGACTATGCTAGCTAGCGAAAGATTAGGGATGCGATAAAAATCAACAAAACAGCCAACACCCTGAATAGAAGGAATGCGTCTGGAAAGTAAAGTGGAAACTACTTATTGCTGTTGGATAGGTTTAGAGAGAGAGAAAGAGAGGGGGGAGGGAACGAAAAGTACCACCGAGCAAGAGGAGGAGGCTTGATTAGGCTCGAATCTGGTTTTGACTTTCACATCACACTTATTTCAAGAGCAATACATTCACACAACACGAGTGCAATGGAAGGCAATCACATTCGGTAACATTACTGGATCAAAGATATAAGTGTTTTATGAGAAGATGCTGCTGTTCGGTCACAAATTAATCCGTTCCACGCTTCATCTGAAGTCACTTGACTTAACTTTTCGGCAAACATTTCGGCAAATCAAAGGATATCAAAAAAACATGAGATGTTATGAAGACCAAGATGGTGTGGCCTTCTTAAAGATAAGGAGAGATACCACAACTGTTTAGCATACGTTTGGCCAAAGGATGGGCTATACTTGTCTCTTTGACGAGCTGTACTATGGTGCTACGAATGGCGAGACTCACTGACGATGCCAACTACGATGCCGGCGAAATGTCTGAGAAAGTATCAAATCCAGGGTCAAACTTTGGAAATAATCAAGCATACAATGCACTCCGGACTAGGTACGTTCCTCAAAGTCTTTCTACCAACGTGACCAAGTTGCGAAAACAAGGTCAAACAACTTCTATAAAATATGAGCTGACTAATTATGTGGACCAAATTGAACTATAAGGATTAGGTAGGTATGAAGCCGGACACCTTTATGCCCTTGTGTTTTGATGAATTATCGTTTAGCCTTGTGTCCTGCTCTGACGATTTCTGTCACATGGATGAAAGCTCAGAAAGGATTCCTCGTGGTTGCAGAGCATATCGCCGAGGACCTATTCGCAC